AAGTTGGAGAACCCACAGAGAAAGCGAGGCGGGAGGGTGGAAGAGTTCTTTTAATGAACTTAGCCCAACATCTTTTCACATCTCTCAATTGTTGACAAATGACCTCGAATATGGAATAGGGATTATTGTAATTCATTCTCTTTCAAATATGACCTCTGTGTTCTGTGTGGCCACTAAGACTGAACAAGAGGAAATGGGCATCAATAAAACATCAGGAATTTAAAAACAAATTTTCCAGTGGTGATACTTATTAGACCCTAGAATGGCTTACCAGTGGAGCCTGGGTGATGTCTGGTGATATTGTAAAGGGGTGGATTTTCATTTGATGGCTTCAGTGTGGTGCTGGAAAAATTCAAGAGGATGTGCTTTCAAGTTTATTACCAACCATATGATGTAATGGTTTCACTTCTTTAAATGGACAGGCAAATGTTCTTTGAAGGCTTAGCCCAATTTGCAAACAGAAACCCTTCATTATGATTGTTTGAGATGCAGTTATTTTAATAACTGGGAAATTTGTTTTGAAGAAAGCCAAGGAACATTTTACTGAGATTGGGTAAAAGGGAAAATAAAAGCTCCGGACAGAACTCAAACAAGAAAATCCTGTTCTGTACTGCAGGAAGAGTAGGACAGTAAGAACAAAAGAATCGACTCAAATGATCTCGAAAGATACACATGATCTCTAGTGTGTGCAAATATGATCACCTTGAATTCTCTAGAGATACATTAGACACATGTCCCCTGGACACTGTAGATCAAGTATAACCCTCGTTTTTTGGGGGAGGAGTCACCTTTATAGATCAAGGTGTTTCTTTCCAAGTCCTTGTGACCTGTTGGATCTTCTCTGAGCGTTATGATTAGTTTTAGTAGAGGATGACTTTGGTGGCTTCTATCAGTGTTGTGTACGAGAGGAAAAAGCATCTTTCTTCCTGTTCATCTTCAGTCAAGGAACCCTTTTGGGAATCCTTCTCTTATGGCAATTAAAACTGTTCACAGTTCGAATGTTCCTTAAGGGAACACTTAGTTGAATTGAATAGGCACAGCTTATCATACTGACGTGACAGTGGCATCAAAACCAGGCCCTATGCTTAAGTTGACTTATTAGCATGTGGAAAATGTGAGAACCTGATATTTCTTAGTAGTTCTACCCCTCAAATGGAAATAATGTGTCCCAAATATCACAAATCCCTAATGTTCTCCCTCCCACTCACACAATTTATATGTTCTTAACTTTAAAAATCATACAAATGGATGTGGCCTCTTAGCACTGAAGAGCCCTAATTTAACCCTGCAAATGATAGCAAATTCCTTTTCTTTAGGACCTGAGACAAATTAGATTGGTGCTTCAGAAAATTTAGCTCTGAATGAGTAGCTATGAAATGTAAATGGTAACTAAAACCATATCCTAGGCTGAACATTTTTGAGTTTATTCTGGCACATCTGGAGAGTTGGGAATAAGTTACTGTTCCAATTACTGTCTCTTTTAATGTGGATTTCTAATTTAGTGGCATTGTGGCAAGAAAATATGATCTGGGTGATATTGCTGCTCTAAATCTTTGTTGGGATGTCCTTTGTGCCCTAGAACTCACTTTTTGAAAATACTCTATGTGAGTTTGCAAAGAGTATAGTTATCCCTTTTTTGAGTATAGAGTTCTACACATTTGTATTTGATCAAACTTGTTAAATTTGTTGTTCCAATAAACTATAACCTCCTAATTTATTTAACTGCCATAACTATTGATTTCTAAGAGAAAAACCTCATAATTACTCATTTATCAATTTCTCTTGTAACTTGGTCAATTTTGAAAAACTGGCTAAACAAATGTGTTGGTAGGTACAGTCATACAAAATTGTGAGTATTTTATATTTTTGATGGATTACTTTTTAAAACCACTGAGTAGCTCTCTACCTCTATTAGTATTCTTTGCTTTAAGTGTGGTGCTCTGCAATTAGTATTGGTATTTCTGCTTTGATTGATTATTATTGCCTGGTTGTTGTTAGCTTTACAGCTGGAATTTTTCAATTCTAGTTTAGCAGTTAAAATTTTCTCTCTTTACTTTCTGCCATCTCTAGCTTCCATTGGCACATTAGAAAAGTCTACTCTCAGTCTTGTTTTTTAATTTCTATAGCTATTTTAACTGCTCCTATCTAATCTTCCAGTGTATTTATGATCTCATTCTTGACTTGGGCATTCCTTTGTTGTTGGAATAGGTATGTGAATACAGATTTCAAAACCTGTTCAGGATTCATTGTATTTTTAAACTTTATAGAAATTTGTTGCATTATTTATGGAAATTTTTTAGGTGTAATCTCTTTTAATACTGCCTCATGCATTAACATCTTCTGGAACATTTATTATTCATTTTTGGGTGTTCATATTCTTTTCTCTGTTTTAACATTTCTTTGCTATTTTTACATGTTTTTTATTTGTTGGGCAATTTCCTCTCATCTGTCTTCAAATTCATTAATTCTGTGTTCAGCTATATCTATGTCATTGTTTAACCTGTACATTGAATTTTTAATTGCAACAATTTTAGAAGTTTATTTTATTTTATTTTAAAACCACCTGTTCCTTTATCATATTGTCCTAGTCTTAGGTGTTTTTTTTTTTTTCCTTGTTTTTTTTTTTTTTTTTAAGATTTTATTTTATTTTTACACAATAGCTGGGTACAGGCCAGAGGTGTGGGAGGGTGTGAGGATTCACCAGAGACAGAACGGGGAGCAGAACAGGCAGACAGACTGAAATACACTGCTGAGGGGAGCAGTGGGCAAGACAGGAGAGGTCTGCCGTGCCAGGTGGGTTTCTCCCTGGCCGGCCCAGAATCAAACCGCACAGAAGAGGCTGCGGACAGCTTCACAGCACTGTGCTCAACCCACTGTGCCCACGGGGAGGCCCTTTTTTTCCCCTTTTATCTGAGCATTTTAAATATACTTATCTAAAATTCTCAGAATACAAGAGACTATGGTGATAGATCATGGATGACTTGGTGGTGGGAATTTTATGGGGATTACACCTGAGGGGAGATATCAAACATTGTATAAAAATGAACAATGATATTAAAAAAAATTTAATAATAAATAAAATTCTCTCTGGTAATCTTATTAGGATGCAAAGTCTCCCATTTGTTGAATAAATTTACATTCTTTCATGCTTTGTTTCTTCATTTGGTTTGTACATTTTATTTTGCTATCCCTTTATTTTTTAAATTTTTTAAATTTTATATATTTTTTACATCATTTTACATTTTTGCACAATGTATACATTTTCATCTTGGTTATAGTCCCCATACAATTCCCACCCCCCTTGTTTTGATCCTACTCCCACTTTCCCTCCCCCCCCCCCCAGTGTGTCTCTGGTTTATAGTTGCTTGTTGATTTTGATTTTTACTTTATTATAATTAGTCTTTTTCCTGGTCCCTTATTTAGGTTTTCTAAATTCCTGCTATGAGTGAGACCATCTGGTATTTTTCTTTTTCTTTCTGGCTTATTTTGCTGAGCATGATCCCTTCCAGCCCCATCCATGTTGCTGCAAATTGCATGAGTTTATCTTCAAAAGGGCACCTGCACCCCTATGTTTATAGCAGCACTATTTACAATAGCTAAGCTATGGAAACAACCCAAATGCCCAAAAATAGATAACTGGATCAAGAAGATGTGGTACATATACACCATGGAATATTACTCAGCAATCAAAAAAACTATCCCCTTATTTTTCTGCCTCAGTTTACCAATAGTGTTAGTTTTCTAGACCTGCCATAAGAAAATACCACAGAGTGGGTAGCTGAAATAACAATTTGTTGCCTCACAGCTCTTGAGGTTATAATTCTGAGATTAAGGTATCAGCAAAGAGGGCTTCTTCTGAGAGCTGTGAGAAAATCTGTCTCAGGCCTCTTACCGCACTCCTGGTGCCTTGTTGGCAGTCTTCGGCATTCCTTGGCAATTCCTTGGCAAGCCTCACCCCAATCTCTGCTTTCATATTCACATGGGGTTCTCCCTTTTTGTGTGTGTGTTTCCAAACTTCCTCTTCTTATAAAGACACTAGTCATAATGATTAGGTAGGGGGGGGTCACCCTACTTCAGTATCACCTCATCCTAACTTAAGCAGTTTACATCTGCCGCAAACCTAGTTCCCAAGCAGATCACGTTCTAGGTACTGGGGCTCGTGATGTCTGTGTACAGATGTTGGAAAGGACACAGTTCAGCCTGCAACCTCGTTGTTCAAATTCTTTCTTCATTTCTACCACCTGCACATTTCTCTTTTGACAGTTTATAACTCTTCTCTTTAATTTATTTGATTGTGCTGTTTTATTCGGGTAGGTGCGTATTGAAGGCAGGGTGGGTGTCAATATCCCACTCGTTGGCTGGGATTTTGTCCTTCCATCATTTAAATAATGAGAATTCAAAAACCAATCACCAGCAATATTTTAAAAGAAATTTAATAGTTGATATGAACCAGAGAAACTCTATGGGGCTAGGGGTGGGAGGGGAGGGATTGGGGACAAAATAAGGGGGTTGCAATTGTATGGGGAATACAAAAATAAAATTTATATAAAAATGTACTTATTAAAAAAAAGAAATTTAATAGTTGAAGGCATAAAAGAAGACATAAAAATATACTACCAATAGAGAAAGGGTAGATTGAAAAAATAACTGAAGAAAACTTATAGAAATAAAAACCATGTCACTGGAAATACAACACTCAATGGATTGGTTACACTGAATGTATGAGGAAAGAGTTTGTGCCTGAAAAATAGATCTGAGAGATAACAGAGGCAGCACGGGTGGGGAAGTTGAAAAAAAGTAAGAGAACAATTGAAAAACAAGGATTTTTAGTTCAAAATTAACTTAATGTTAATTTAAAAATTCAAGTGGGTGGAGTTAGCATTTGCTGCAGGAAAAGGAGTGAATTGCTTGTATACAGAGAACATGGCAGAGAATTTTTCAGATTTGAGAAAGTCAAATTTAAAAAAAAGCTGACTTTGGTTAATTCCTCATTATTTTAGGGTGGCTGCCGTTGGATTTTGCTTCCTCTCTGCTTCCTGGAGAAGATCCTAAATTTCATATTGGCGTTTCTGGGAAAAGACTTTGTTGGGAAAAGGTTGACACTACTGGCTCGGAGGTAAAAAGAATTGTCTCAAGAGTTCCCACATTTTTCTACATTTCCAAGTCTCATTACATTCTAATAATACAAATGAAGCCCTTCTAGTTATTGGATATTATCAAAGTAGATTTTTGTGCATTGGTGGTATTGAGCAGGTTAATCCATTTGAAAATATAAATGAAACTTGCAAATCATAGGACTTTTGGAAAATGTTTAGACCGACACCGTCCTCACATATTGAGGGTGTGTTTTGTAACGCTTCACCAGCGTGTGGTTCTTATTCTGAATGTAATTCTTGTTTTGAAATGTAAATAATAAACAATATTTTACACATATTTTCACTGAAAGTAACATTTTGTCATATTTGGCTGCAAAGCCTATGGTGGACTCAGCATGGTGCCTCCCCAGTGGAAATGCGAGCGGGACCACACAAAACGGTTCCACTGTGTCATTTTATTCAATGTGGCTTCGGGAAAATAAACTCTTCTCACCACAAAAACTTGCTTGTCATTTCCCACTTTTAAAAATGATCACTTCTAACTTGGTTTCCAGCACCTTATCCCTTTTCTAACCGTTGTCTACTTTAAAGTGACTTGAAGATTTGTTTATTTTGCTTTGGAATCGCTCACTCTACATTTCCCCCACATTTCTAACTATAAAATGCATATTATTAAAACATGCTAAGCCTTTGGGATAGTTTGATGTTGGGAATGTAAGATTTTTGGCTCATTCATTTAGAGTTTTGTGGTATTTGTATTTTCAGTATATTTGATATTTTTCTATGTGTTTTAACTTTTAGCGATTTTCTTTTAGCACGTAATTGAGAACTGACTTAATTCTCCAGAACATTCAACTTAAACTTGATTCAGCTTTCTTTTGGAGCCTTTTTACCAGACGGTATATTTATCAGCACTTTTTATCCAGGAATCTTAGATTTTCTTGATGCCAACCTAAGACACAGAACTCAGCTGCAAGAAGGCACAGATTATTTCCAGATCTTCTAAATAGGTGGGAGTGTCAGAGTAATAGCTTAATGTCTCATGCTGGAGCAGAGGAATAGACGTGGGCATAAGAGAACCCATTTTCAATCATTCACAGCCTATACTTTCCAAAGAGTAATGACTAAATTGGACACAATATTCTAATAAGGATTTGGCACTGAATATTGTTGAAGGGAAACTTAATTTTTAAAATTATTTCAATTTTTATTTTATTTTAAAAATTTATTTATTTATATTTATTTTACATCATTGTTCACTTTTAAACAGGGCTCACCGTGCACCATCACCACAGTCCCCTGTGCTCCTCCCTCTCTCCCTCTGGTCCCTCTCCCACCCACTCCCCTGCAGGATGTCTCTGGTTTATAATTGTCTGTTTGTTTTTGTTTTGTTTTGTTGTGTTTTGTATTGTTATTACTTTTTCCCCTGATGTCTTATTTGATTCTCCTATATTCCTCCTATAAGTGAAACCATCCGATATTTTTCTTTTTCCTTCTGACTTATTTCACTGAGCATAATTCCGTTGAAGAGAAATTTTAAATGCCTGTTATCATTGTTCTTTGGTAATGGCAAAGCCACACCTGATGTAAACTAAATGCATGTGAATAAAGTACTTAGCATTCCACTAAATTCAGTAGGCTATTGTCAGTTATTTACTAAATTCTCTGTAAACAATATTTTTTTTTTGCTGTTCTTTCTAGGGGAAGAAATTATAACCTATCTCAAGCCTATTGACAGCTGATTTTTGATGATTATATGGCAGTCACTGGATTGATCATCACATGTGCAAGGTACCTTTTAAGTTCAGTATTTCCTGTTGGCAATTTTTATTGCCCTGAAGATTTCTATGCTTCATGGGAATGCTGCTTTCTATGACTGGCTTAGTGGGCACATTAGTGTTATTGACATGTTTAATATTTGCTCCAAGTGTCATTTTCTTTATATAGTCCCTCATTATTGCTAACATTTACCCTTTTAAATATGTGTGCAATCCATGAGGCCCTTTTTCAGTAACAAGTTGGGAACTTTAAGCTCCGTGGAGTATATTTACTTTCTGATGTACTATCTTTCAAAAAAGCTAAGCATTCTAGAAATTTTTGCTTGCCAGTAGGACTTGACATGAGAACACTTTCTGAATGTCAAACTGTTATTTTTTTCTGCACTTGTATATCACAATAAAAATAAGCTCCAATTTTTTCTTTTAACCCCTATTCATTTTCATGGCAGAAAATTAGTAACCAAGGTTCATGATATGGAAAAGTGAAAAATTGGTCTCCATTTTCTGTCTCCCCCCATAATTAATACCCTTTGCAATATGATTTTTAACACCTTATGTCAGATGGTAGAGTCTGTTTCCCAGCCCCCACCATGAGAATAAGACCAGGTAGCTTGCCTGAGGGAGACAGGCTACGTAAAGCTGAGCTTTGTGCCCTGACCTCCAGGAGCCGGTGCCCAGAAGCATAAGCACACCCATAACTGACTGATGCCTCACCACAGAGGTTGCGGGAAGCCAGGCCAGACTGGAGGGACTGCCCAGCTGGCTCCGGCCCAAACTGTTGACCCTAGTTTTCAGGCAAATAATGTTGTTTTAAGCCATAACAATTTGTGTTGGTTTGTGATGCAGTCAGCTGATGGATGCACTAGCTTGCTTTTATGGAGGTCTGTGACTCTGAAATTTTGTGAAAATTTGGGGTGTGTGTGTGTGTGTATGTGTGGTGTGTGTGTGTGTTTTATGGGCAGAACTTTCAGCATGGAGCAGTTCTCAGACATATGTGGTCCAGAACATTTTTATAAATCATTGCCTTATTGGTTTAGTGTTAGGTTTAATCACGTGCCAGGTGGCAGACTCATTTACCTATTGAATGAAACTACTCAGATTCTGATGAACATAGCTTTTTGTTAGTGAGAGCAAAGCAGCAACAACAAGGCATTTCATGTGTGTATGTGCGCATGTCTATGTACGCCCCTGTCACCCGGGGGGGCAATCTCTGGGTCTTTCTTCTCGGCCTACACTAACATGCCACCTGTGGGGCAGTACTTTTGTCTCTTGTGCATTGCTTATAATCCCGTGCTAGCGCATTCAATTAAAAATTGAGTTGCTTACTCTGATCTGATTGCCACTTCAAACTGCATGTATGTTCTTCTTTGGAGAGTTCCCGGTTAAAATACCTTGTAATACAGTTTAGGGGAAATCTCTTTCAACCCTTGCCACTTCCAGCCTCAACCTGAGTGGACAGCCACTTCTTCTGGTCCCTAGAGAAAAGGTCAATTCTCCCAGGAGGCCCTTCTCAACCCTTGTAGAGGACAAGAGTCCCAAGGCCGTGTTGCTCAGCTCATGAAGCTGATGGAGGCCTTGGCAATTGCTACAATTGCCTTAATGTTGAAAAGCTGTTTTTTGCTGGGCCTCTGTCTCTGAGATTTTGGGGTGCGTCGTTTTTTATCTGATGTCTGGGGTATCCTTTGGTGAGCTGACGAGACCGACATGCAGAACACTATGTGCTTATCTACCATGGGCTGGGGCTGGGACTGGGGAGCCATGCCTGCTCCCCAAACTCACATCTTCTGGCTCATTGTCAGTCAAGTCATGCCAGAGCTGCTAGCCAACAAAAGCATATAGGGAAAATAAATTTGTCATAGGAAAAGTACAGAAAAGCGATCACTTTCAGGCAGGACTACAGTAAGAACACTGTCGGCTGCATTTCACTGATGTCAAAAACAAAATGCCTTGCCAAATATCTTTTTAAATTTTTTTTGGCATGTGTCAATGAAAGCACAAGTGTTTGGATACTTCCACCATATGGTTAGAGCCCAACTGGGTTATACACAGAAAACCATAGACCTGCTTTGCCAGCCTTGTTGACCCAGGAGCCAAGCTGGGCTGTGGTACCCCTCCCCCATGCCCAGCCAGCTCGGGAGTCCTGCTAGCCAGCTCCCAGGTGTGAGGCATGGAGAGGTGGGGGCGAGAGGGGGGTTGGGTTTCAGTAAGGCATGGCAGGTGTAACGGTGGTCTCCGAGAAACACCTCCTCTCTTTTCACAGCATAACAGGTCGTTTCACTGAGAAAGGGCCTGATTTTCCCCAACACTTGCACCTCCAGCCTCACATACAGACCAGTGGAGAGTGTTTCAGTGTGGGCTGCTGGAAACACTGGTGGCTGGGCACCGAAGTTTCTAGCATTCCTTTGTTTTTTCTTTAAGGTGCAGCGTATCAGTATAAACATTGTCTCCCTCCTTTTTGGCTCTGAAATTACTTCAACATATGTGTAAAAAGATGAACAAGGGGGTAAGCAATCTATGAGACTGATGTTTTAAATACATACTCTTTCCTAAGATAGTGTCTGCTCCATAGGCATCTGTCAAATTAGCATGGATTTTGTCACCCAAAGATGAAGACTGGAATAGGAATAGGAATCAGAAGTGTCTTTCTGATGCCATATTGGCCACAAAGATTATTTCTGATGTTGCTCTAGCAGGAACCTGACTATTTTCTGGCCTCACAGGCTGACACTGTGAGAACCAGTAACCTGAACTTCCTCGGCAAGAAAACGACAGTGGCAAAGGTGGTGTCTACCACCTGGTGACAAAGACAATCCATACAGAAGACCCAGCCAGTGGGAGTCCTTCCCAGTCCATATCCTGGAGGGCACATATCCTTTTGTTACATCTTCACCCCTTTTCCCCAGTGAGGTGGCCACTCGCCTTCCTCTGCTCTAGACTCCATCTGCATATTCATTTTGTATTTGCAGGACCGAGCCACACCCTATGTCTTGCCCTGACTCACATCTCTCCTTAAGGAAGGCCGTGTTCATTACCCACTCACCTCAGAAGACGAACATAGTTTAGGGGTTGCTGTTTTGCTTGTCCTGGGAGGTACGTGTTGGAATGAAAAAATCCCACACAACACGATTAGGCACAAGTGCAACTCTGAAGCTGCACGCTCTGTTTCCTTTACTTTTTTTCTTTTTAAGAGAATGTTCTCAGATTTTCCTCTTGCGTTGACCCAAGATAGTCTTTTGAGCAAATTGCAATTTTTTAGCTGCCTCCACCCTCTGTTTTTGGATGGCTCTTGTTTTCTAACTCTTGTGGCCACTTAGTTATTTACGAAGTGGTTTGAGAAGTGTCATGAAGCAGCAGAGTTATTGCTAGATGCATGTAATTACACACAGCTCACCCATGCAGCACATGCACGCTCGCACGTAGATTTCTCTCTCAATGGATTCCAAGGGGGCAGGAGGAGAATCCACAGTTGATCTAATGGAGCTCAGCTTGTTTTGACAGTTTCTTCCTTTAGAAGAAGGACATTTAACAAATTTCTATAGTAGATGAACCGTGATCTTTTTTTCTTAAAAGCATTTTGTGCTATACAAATGTGGTCAACTAGGCCTAAGGTTTACATAATCACTGATCCACATGGGATTTGCAGAAGGATTAACTTCTTCCCTAGTGTAACAGTTATCTGCAGTGGTAGCTAGAGTGCTGAAAAAGCTTGAGCTCCTGTACAAACCCTGGTCTTGCCTCTGAATTGTCATCGGTGACTCCAAACTTGATCTGAAATCTAGGGATATAATTTTTTCATATTTTTGAAAGGTTGTTTATTATAATAAAATTAAAATGTGTATTATTTGTAATTTGAACTGTGCTTTATGAGCTGTGGTAGAATTTAGTATTTAAAGAATTCTATGATGATTTTTTTTTTTTTTGGTAAAGAATTATCTCAGAATCTATTTTGGGTCTAGAACCAGACCTTCCTCTATTGTTGGCTTAGGTGATCCACACTTCTTGTGCAGATTTCCTGCTCCTAACAAGTAATATTTATATTATAAATTCCATTTTATTAGTTACAATGAACACAATACTCTAGTATGGGTTCTGAAACTTTTCCACTAAAATACTCTCAGTGATAGAGAACACACTCAGTTTCTTCCAGGGAAGTCTAAGTCATGGCCAAAAGTGTTCCTAATCGTGTTTGAACGTGCTTTGAACCTTCAATCTTAATCAACATTTCTACCATGATTCATAAATCTTTGCTTATGTTCATTTAAAATTATTTTCCCTTGTCTAAAATGGGTGCAACTCAGGAAGAGGCGCTGCGTTCATTCTGTTCCAATCTCTTGGCCAGCCTCCAGCTGAGGGTTTGGGTTTTCACTCTGCCCAAACATTTCCAGCTCCAACCTCTACTAGCCCAGAGCCATACTTTTTCTGCAATATCTTGGTCATTTCCTTCTCTGCCGCCCTGGCTATGCATCGAGCTGTCATGTGGTCCAGGAAACGTTGAGCTGAGCAGGTCTGCACTGTTGCTCACTCATGCACTGTGGGCAGGGAGCTGCATGCTTGCATCAGTTCCTCTTCCCAAGTCTCATGGGTAATGGGGAGTCTCCCAGTGACTGCAGAGCACACAATGGGTGGTCTTTCAAAGTGGAGGACCCTGCACAAAGGAAACCTTCAATCTTTTAAAGAACTACTAGCAAAGCTGCCCAAACTTTACCCTCAAGACAGAACTTCCTTTATTTTCCTGGTCAGGAAAGATATTTGCCCTCTGACTCAGAAAGAGACACTATCTTTCTCTTCTGAGGTTGTCTGCTGTACTGACATCCTTGAAAGGAAATCTGAGATGTGTAGCTGGAAATGCCATGGATAATTTTCTCCCCAAAATAACTTCCATGTTCACCAATATCTGATGGTGTAATTAATGAATTTGATTTGGGAATTTTACATTTGTGATGTTATTAGGGTGTTAAGATAACTACCTGTTAAAATACAGCCAGTGACCTGTTGACATTATGTACTTAGAGT